ATAACATAATATATATTGATCTCAATATTAGTTACATTTAAGAGAAGTGAATATAAATGCAATTTCCTAAGAAAAAACACTACACATGCAATTTCCTAACAAATGTGCAGTTTCCAATGAAAATATTCAAATAAAACTAACACTTGAATTGAATCTCAAAATTAAGAAAGAATCATATTTGATGATAATTCCACCTCCTCATAGAAAATTGAATATATAATTTTTATTTAAACAAAGCATTAGTATTTTGAGATATTGTCAATTACTAATTAAAAAAATCAAGAGCAGAGTAGAACAGAATTTTCTTTTCTTTTAGTATAGAAGAATATCTTGATTCAAAAGGCATATTAAGAAAAAGACTTAATTGAAAAAAATAGAGTAAACTATTCAAAATGAAAACCTAACCAGCATTATATTCAAAAATTATGTAATTACCTGATCCACTTGAGAACAATGGAGATGCCTGAATTCCCTACAATGCTTCCTAAGATATTCTTTGAGCTTGCACACGTCTTGTCTTCGAAAAATATCCCAGAGTTTACAATGAAGCATTTTAGCAGAAATGTAACATTAAATTATTCATGTATATTTCCCTGACAGCTTAAGCTTATGGGATAGTTGGTTCAAGACATGGTATCAAGGCCTCCACAACCTAGTGATCTAGAGTTCAAAACTCGTTGCTCCCATTCTTCAAATGAAAATGTTTAATTTCAACACACTTCAAGCCCGATGGGCACTTGCATGAAGGGACATGTTAGAAATAAAATATAAAATCATTCATATGTCTTCCCCTGACAACTTAATTGTTAATAACTCCCTCAAGCCCACTCTCAGAACACATGGAGAAAATAACTTCATTGCCTATCATTATCAGGAAATAGAGTTGCACAGTTTGAACAGATCCCCAATTAAAAAGATGTATAGCAGAAGTGATATGGGTGAGCAAAGGATAATAGAACTTTGGCAGTTTCAGTGTTGCACAAAGCTGAGTCAGAAACAGACAGTTAGAGATCCTAATTGATCAGGGAAAGGAACAACATATATCAGATGGAAGGGGGAGAGAAAGTGCCAGGTTAAGAAGATTCTAGAATATAATTTGTAATAGAAAACCAGATCTCTTGAACATCTCGGAGTGGAGAGAGGTTTGTTAGGCTTTTCCTTCTTCTAGATTCAGTAATGACATTGATTCAGATTTAGAGAAACAAATCTTCAAACAGATAGTGTCAACTACATGTATCAAACACCACCATAATGTCCTATTGTAAATTATGTCTGTAGAAATCTATTGACCTCTCCATCCTTTTTAATGGTTTTGCCTGTCATTTTCCCCCTCCAATTACTAAAGCTTCCACAAATCTCCTCCACAGATGCTTAAATCACATAATGCAAGCTTCTACCATCTTTTGTAGAATAGGTGTTAACCTAACTTTCTATCTGGTGCGCTTATTCCTAATTATCTCGTCACTAGTCCACTTATCCAATGCAATATTGTCTTCGTTTAGTTTAGTGTCTCCGCATTTTACCACCCAACATTCAATTCCATACAACATCACAAGTCTTAAAGCTATGCAACATTGTCTACTCATCCGATGCAACATTGTCATTTTTTAATTTACTATCTCCAAATTTTATCACCCAACATTCAATTTCACACGACATCAAGCTATACAGTAAAAATTTCCCCTTAACCTTGGTCAACAGCTTTCTCTTATAGATAACACCCAAAGCATTTCATATTTTCATTTCTTCTACTTCTACCTGCTTGAATCCTAGGTATTACCCCCAAGATGCCTAAATCAGATGACCTGTGGCACAGTAAGATCTCCTATTTTCATCACTAAGCTAGGAATGGTGTTCCTCTTACTACACTCGCATTCCATAAAAAGAGAAATCTTCATTCAATAAAAATTCCTTCATTTCTATAATTTCTATGAGTTTTTATCCAGTTCAAATTACATGATCACCATTAGGGTTCAACTTATATATTTAAATAACTGATAGCACTTGCTCCAAACAACTGTTGAGAAAAGGATTGTGTTGTGCTTGTATGGGTGCATGTGTGTGTGTCGACCTCATGATTGTCACTGCCTCACTGGTTATAAAATTGGCTTTTAAAGGATCAAATGAATAGTTAGAGTCAACACTACAATTGCAGGAGATACTAGGAAAACATTAACCACAAATTCTATCATGCCAAGCTATGACCTTAAGACCACCAACCTATATACAAAACCAAGTCCCTTTGCTAAAAAGAGCTACGAACTTTATTAAAAATAGTGCATTCACAACAGATACCCAGATGGAAAATATGTTTCTCGAATAATAAATAATTATTAAATGCAAATATAATCTTTTCATCAACAGTTTCGGTCTAACTTTTTATTTTTTGGTCAAAGGTTTTTAATTAGAATAAAGTATAATCTGTAAATAAAAATGGTGCATATATCCTCAATGTGAGTGAGATTTAATTTTGTACAATAAATTAGTTAGTGATTAAACTATTTTTTTAATTAAAATCCTTCATAATTACTTTTTATCTTCGTTTGTTGTAATTTTTTTTAAATCATGAAGAATAGATTGTTATTTTAGGTGTATAATATGATATGAATGATCTCTAAAATTAAGAAAATTTAAAATAATTATAAAAGTGTTTAGAAATTGTCAAAGTTCTTAATCTTCAGAATTTTGATCTTAAAACCTATGTAATACTTATGAAATCCAAGACTCGAGAATAAATTGCAGTACCAATTGAATTAACATATTTTTATTACTTAATTTCTTTTTAATTTTATTTTTAATAGAGACACAAAATACCTCATTTATACTGGATATTATACGGAGGGTTCACTACAAAAAAAAAAAAAAATACATGATTTGTGGCGCATATTTTATAACCGTTGGTCAGAAACTTCAATCACTTTAAACAGCCACAAAATGCATTTTAATTTTACCACAAAATTGGTGTTTGAATTGTTTTACATTTTCTAGCGGTTTTGAACCACCACAAAATTGTGCTTTTGTTTGACTTGCTTTACATTTTCTGGCAGTCTTAAATCCCCAAAAAATGCACTTCATTCTGCATTTAAACTGGTGCATTTTTATTACTTTAAAAATATACGTAAAATTATTTTAAAAAGCATCGGAGGTCGCCCGGCGGCTCTATTCTCGGAGGTTTCTTCTCGCTCTCGCTCTCGCTTTCACTCTCACTCCGCGGCATCACTCTCACCACTTTTCTGATTTATTATTATTGTTATTACTATTATTATTACTACGTGCTGTCCTTTTGGAATTGAGAAGAATGGCGTTGAGAGCTTTTAAATAAGAGCTACGGTTTCCGAAATTTTGTCCCAATTATAGTCCGAAAAATTAATAAATTTATTATAAAATAATTCTTTAATTTAATATTTTATAATTTAAAATATTATTTTATTCATTCGAAATGAATTTTTTGTATTAAGTTTAAGCGTGATGTGTAAGCTCACCCTTAGGAACATTGAATTGAGTATGTTGAAAGGACTAATAGATTAATAGATGTGATTAGAGGACTCAGGAGTTAAATTTTTTTTAGTGAGCTAATTGAAAAAGATTGGTAGAGGTATAGATAGCCCTTCACGCTTGAAAGTTGATGATGCTTTGAGATTCAAAGATAGAATCTATGTGCTTAGTAATCTCGAATTAAGGAAGATGATCTTAGAAGAAGGACATAAAAGTACTTTTAGTATTTATTTAGGATATACTAAAATGTATCAGAGTTGTGCAGCGGAAGCATGGCTTAAGGAGAAAAGAGAAGTAGAGGAATTTGGATACTAGTATATAGTATGCCAAAAGTTTGAGGTGAAACACTAGAGTCTTTAATATTTTTACAGTCTTTAGACGTCCTAATTTGGAAATAAGATTCTGTATCCATGGACTTAGTTGTAGTTAGTATAGAAGTAGAAAAATAAAAATATGATGTGTGAATAGGCTTGCAATAATCTGTACTATATATATAGGTAAGAAAAAGTGACTACGCGCGTTTTGTAAAATATTGTAATAATAAGTACTTATGATATGGTATAATGTATAATATTATCATACATGTGTTCTTTTAGCTATGTCTATATATATATACATATATTACTGAGGTTAAGATTAATACAATTAGGCGTTACAAGAAGAACCAATGAACAAGTGCCAAGTGTCCTCTTATCTCTAGGTGGTTGGAGAAGTAGTTCCAAGGCGAAGAGTAGCCAAAATGGGCGGCCAAGGTGGCTTTTGACTTGTCTTGGCCAAACCAAAAACCAAGGAATTGGTTTGCTTTGGTTAACCAAATGAAGGTTAAACTAAGCCAAATCAATTCCTTGGGCCAAGAGAAGAAAAACAAGCCCAAGATCTCTTTTGGCTATTTCCACACTTTTACTACTTCCACACCATCTAGAGTGGCTATTGTCACACCACTAAAATGACTATTTCCATTCCAACTACTAAACTAAAAAAAAAAAAAATGATGACCGTGAATGCATGGTCAATAGGAATACATTTCAATAAGGAACATGCCTCTAAATCCTAAAGACATGACCTACAAACAAAGAAACACACACCCCTAAATACAAAGGTAAAAAAAAACCTATGCATTTAACTACTATACATACAAGAGAATGGAAAACAAAGTATACAAGGAATATACAATAAAAGACTGTATATTTTAATAAATTTATTATAAAATAATTCTTTAATTTAATATTTTATAATTTAAAATATTATTTTATTCATTCGAAATGAATTTTTTGTATTAAGTTTAAGCGTGATGTGTAAGCTCACCCTTAGGAACATTGAATTGAGTATGTTGAAAGGACTAATAGATTAATAGATGTGATTAGAGGACTCAGGAGTTAAATTTTTTTTAGTGAGCTAATTGAAAAAGATTGGTAGAGGTATAGATAGCCCTTCACGCTTGAAAGTTGATATTGTAGCCATGAAAAGATACCAAGTTTAATCTATGAAATCATTCAACTAATAGTTGAGTTGTATTAATGAAGAAGGGGTATAAAAAGTTTACCTGTTCATGCCCTCGTAGTTTCATGAAACCTCTTAGTAGTTCCCGCTTGTAATGGCAATCACCACGTAGGTGACTTGCTCGTACCTTTTTTCACAATATCGTAAAGAAATACTAATTAGGGGAGAGAAATTCATCTTATAAATGAATAGGAAGAGTGTTAGATAGGAACCTCAGTCCAAGCAAGGTGAGCAAACAATTTCAGGTCATTTAATTTACATTAGTTATATTACATTGGTTATATTTTTTTTCTTCTTTTTATATACATGTTCCTGAAAAATATTCTTCTAAATCAAAGTCACAACAAATGTATAAAAGCACTTTTGTTAGTGATTAGATTGACAAAACTACATATTTGAGATTTAAGTATGTACGTACATACTCACCATAACCAAATATAGCTGAGACAGTAGTGGCACCTAATACAGAGGAACAGACATACTTGTTGAACCCTCTAGGGTTGTCTCCGTTTTCCATGAACCTGTTGGCTGTCTGCGCTTTTTTCTTCCGAAGACTCTTTCAATTTTGATCTCCAACGTGTTCAAAAGCTAGTGAATAGTGATGATCTTTACGTGGACTCTAATACACATAAGTTTAAGAGTCATGACACCAACCATTTATTAATTTATATATTGTGTTCTGTGGCTTCTGTCAGCAAGCAATTGTTGCTTCATTTTCTGAGACGTTGCATTTTATGAGAAATGTCATCATGTATTATTATCTTAAGTTGTTGCCACCAGATCTTTAATTATAAATTCACCGGAATCAGGACAGTTTCAGCACAACTCTATGTTGTCATCAACAACACAGTCCTAGTTAACTAATTGCATTTAATATACCTAGCATTCCTCGTACAACAAAGTAAAAAAGCACACTGATTATTAGTACTATACCATTCATCAAGATCAAGAGTAAGGACAAAACCTTTTGCTGCAAAACTCTTTTTGCAAACAGTCCCTTCTCATTTGTAGGTAACGAAGAAGGCCACCCAATCTGCTTATTAGAGACAACAACAACAACAAAAGAATATGGCTTAACTAATGTTGGCAATGCAGAAAACTACTGAAAGTTAATAACAACCTTGCCTATTTATTTTTCCTTTTCTTTTTTTTGTTTATAATTCCAAGCACAGACAAAAGACTAACAACTTACCGGATTAAAATACAGAAATACCATTTTTTCCTCATCTCCAGCACTTCTCCTACAACGTCATTATAAAAAAGGTTTATAAGCAACGTAATCATGCACTGACAATAACTTGCAACACTCAATAGTGAAGACACTACAAAATTCAATGCAACAATTAACTCGAAACCAAAGCCAAGTGCAGCAAAGTCAATTCAACCACACATACACAGATAAGCAAGAGAAGACTCTAACTAAACAAAAAAAAACAAACACACTTGGAAAGATCGGAATAGACAGGTTCACTACGACTTCGACTTCGAGAAGTCAACAAACGCAGTGAGAGTGGAAAATGAAATGACTGACCTGTCGACTTCGAGAAGGACGGTGAGAGGAGTGGTGGTCGGAGGATGAAGATGTGAGTGTTCGTGGTGTTGCCAAGGAGTGGAGGGGACTGGAACAGACTGGATTCCAAACTCGCTACGATGGTTGAGGTACAGAGAAGATGGTGGTTCTTTCTCCTGTTGATGGTGGTTTCCGGTGCTTAGAGAAGATGGAAGGCACTGACTTGATAGAAATGTATTACGAAAGAAGGAGAGGAAGCTGCCCAGTGAAAATGGGCATAGATAGATATAAGGTCAAGTTTTAAAAACAATACTTTGCTACATAGACATATATTACGCCGATTGTAGACACCCTAAGTAATGAAATGGTGGAGACGGTGGTTCTTTCTCCCGTTGATAGTGGTTTCTGGTGTTTAGAGAAGATGGAAGGCGGTGCCTTGAGACAAACGTATTACGAAGGGAGGAGAGGAAGTTTTGCAGTGAAAAGGAGCATAGACAGATATTATGTGTATATTAATATGTTACTATGAATTCACATATGCTTTATTTATAAAAAAAATGTTAAAAACCTGATTTGATCCCTTATAATAATTATTTATTTTATTTTAATCTTATTTTTATTTTTTGTCTCACTTTGGTTTTTAATAAATTAATTAGTTGTAATGTAGGATTTCTGTCTAAATTATTTAAACGGAATTAACTGTTGGTCACGTGAATGTCACGTAAATGCATAGGTGGATGTTACGTAGATGTTAATTTTTTTTAACACATTTAATTTTGCTAAAAATAAATTAATAATTTTATTATATTTATCCTATTAATTTTTATCATTTTATTCCTCTAATTTTAAATAAGTTGCAAAAAATTATTAAGTGACACTTAAATATTTCTTCAGAAAGAGAAAAAGGAAAAGTTATCATTCTATTTATAATATAATTGTATTTTATAAATATAAGTAATTTTAAAATTTTTATCATAAAAATATTTTCAAAATTATTATAGTTCTGGAACGGGCTATTCTGCATCCAGAATGGCCCATTCTAGTTTCAGAACGGACCGTTCTTTTCTACTCGTGGTGCTTAATTTTGCATCTGGAACGGCCCGTTTCAGATGCAAAATTAACACACCAAGTGTGCACCCATAACAGCCTATTCTGGTTCAAGGTGTTTTCAAGGAATTTGGCATCCACCTGTGCATCTACGTGGCATCTACGTGGCATCCACGTGGCCAACAGTTAACTCCGTTTAAATAATTTAGACGGAAGTCCGACATTGAAACCAATTAATTTATTAAGAACCAAATTGAGACCAAAAATAAAAGTAGGACTAAACTGAAACAAACAATTATATAAGGGACCAAAATAGGTTTTTAGCTTAAAAAAAATATTGATGTTATAACGAAGTGAGTAAAAAGTGTAATTATTATTGATATACTGGCAAATGAAACCTCAAAGTATAAACATGATTATTATATTACTAATATATATATATATATATATATAGCATATCAAGTGAGAGGAAATTTATTATGAGAGATGAGAGGGTTAAAATATAATCCTTAGATTAATCAAGTGAGAGAAAATTTGTGAGAGAAAATTTGAGGTTTAATCAGGTGAGAGAAAATTAATTTAAGGGTTATATTTTAACATCTCATCTCTCATAATAAATTCCCTCTCACTTGATATGCTCCCTATATATATATAAATTTAATATTTAATTGCAAATGTTTTAATTATAAATAAAACACACTAAAATTTCTATACACTTCAATGGATAATAATAAAATTAATTATAAATATTAAATTTAATAAAAAAATAAATTATCACAATAGATAAGTTAATTTAATAAGTGAGTTACACCAATAAACAAGTTGTTTTTTATTTAAATAGAATATATAAAGACACGAACTGTTGAATCTCACTAATATATAATAAAGGAATATACTATTGTGTAATCATTTTTAGTTTTTATTTTTAAAGAAATCTCAAATTTATGAGTTACTAAAAACAAATTCCATTATTAGAGATAGAAACTTGAGCCGACAACAATTATAATGTCACATACAAGATTAGTCATATATGGAAAAAAACAGGCCTTAAAGGGAAATAATAAATAGTCATAAATCCTTATTTTTAAGGGTTGTAATAGTATCTATATTAAGATAATTTATTCATTTGTTGTACTCTGTTCTGTTGTGCATCAATTAAGATAAACACTTTGTCTGTTTTTCTCTACTCCATGACAGAACTCTAACATGGTATCAAGAGCACTGTGACATCAACCATGACTTCTGCTTCTCAATTCGTTCCACAGACACTCCATACTCCGATGATAATAATTTCTCTCCTCTACTTGGACATTGTAACAATACCAATTACTAAAATACATGTTTAAGGTGTTTATGGCGCCACAAACAACAGCGAGGAAGAGAGCTAGCGCAACATTACCGACGTCCTTGGCACGATCATGAAGGGAAGAGTAGTGGTGAACAGAGTATAATCCTAGGGGGACACATGGAGTGATACGCTCGAGTTCTGAAAGGTAGAAGAGGTCGGAGGGGGGGTTTTCAATGATATTAAGAGGGATGAAAGATTGGATCTTAGTGATGTTGATGATGGTATTTGAGGAAGTGTCGTCGATGGAGTAAGAGGTAATTATAAATGCCCTGCAAGGACGTGCCTTTGCAGTACCATGACGGTGACAATACAAAGATAGGTCATGCCAAAGAGAGATTGAATCTCACTAATATATAATAAAGGAATATACTATTGTGTAATCATTTTTAGTTTTTATTTTTAAAGAAATCTCAAATTTATGAGTTACTAAAAACAAATTCCATTATTAGAGATAGAAACTTGAGCCGACAACAATTATAATGTCACATACAAGATTAGTCATATATGGAAAAAAACAGGCCTTAAAGGGAAATAATAAATAGTCATAAATCCTTATTTTTAAGGGTTGTAATAGTATCTATATTAAGATAATTTATTCATTTGTTGTACTCTGTTCTGTTGTGCATCAATTAAGATAAACACTTTGTCTGTTTTTCTCTATAATATTATTTTTATTATTTAAAAATTTTAAAATAAAATTATTTAAATAAATATATACATCAAATCAAATCAGATTATTATCTTTATATATATCATAGATAATAAATAACATCACTTTGTTTTTAGTTATATATACATAATCAATCATACCAACAAATATGTGATGGTTATAATAATATATAATCAATTGTCATGGCCGGTTATGTATATAGATAGTTGATTAACTTATTATATATTATTATAAATATTTAACGTAATATATATAAGTTATATTTATATATAGTTGGAGAGAAAATATTGTAAGAAAGAATCCAAATTCTCATAGATAAAGTGGTGAATGGTGATGTTTAGGCCTTCCACTTTTCTAAATATTTCACTCATTTTCTTTTCTGTCCAATTATATTTGTATTTTTCTTTATTTTATATTTTTTAAGGGGTCAAATAAGCTTTTAGTTGAAAAAAAAATCATTCTACTTCTTAAAATGCATTTGTTTTAAGTTTTTATGTCTCATAACATAGGACTAATACTTTGTGTTCATGCCATATTGACATCCCAAGTCTCGGGTCAATTCATGTTCACCTTTATACTTATATTTTTTATCAATAAAAAAATTATTATAACACAACAAATTTAATTTTAGAACCTACTACATACTATTTGAACCATTGAATGGTTCTTTTTTTTTTTTTACAAAACCACAAAATGAAACACTAGCGAAAAAATGTATCACACTCTTGGTCAGGATGTTACTTTCGTGACTAATGAAGCAGGATAACATAATACAATTTCTAAACAAAAATACTTTAATGCATTTAACAAAAATTATTGATGATTATAAAATTATGTGTTTTTAATTCTTAATCAATAAAAGTGTGTTCAAAATATATTGTTAGCCTTTTCTATATGTGATAATATGCAAGTTTTTTAGAAACTTATCTTTTAGGAAGATCCTCTTGCAATTTTAACTTTTATAAAGTAAATTATTCAATAGGATGTTACTTTTCAACCGGCACGTGTTATTTTTAGTAATAAATGAACAAATGTTATTACTTGGACCATATGTTGGGACCATTAAAATATATTTCGAGGAAAGGACATAAGTTCAGATATTCTCAAAAGGACATGATATTCTTTTCCTATTTTATTGAAGTATAAATTAAATTAAAAAATGATATAAAAATTTACATAATTTCGTTTGATATTTTTTTTTTGAATTGTCAATGAAACTATTTTGACATTTTTTTTCATACTCACAAGCGTGGAAAATGATGCACAACGTCCATTATATATATAAAAAAAATTCACTTTCTCACTTTTTCCTTTCTTACACCTTTTCACAAACGTTTCACCTTTTTATTTTATTTGGTTACTTAAAAGTGAAAAGTACTTTGTCTCATTCACCACATCCATGTAATTTTTAAAACAAATTATGATAATGCGATTATTTTGAGACAATATTCTTTATTAAGTAATTAACACATAATATTGTGTTGTATTTTATTTTTACTCATTCTTTTATTAAAGAAGGCCTATTTCACTCTATGTAGTATGTGATGCCGATATAAAAGAAAATAATTAAAACTACTTATATTGTGTTTTTCACATTGGTATTACATTAAAAATATAATTCAAACTATTTTTTTCATAATTGATATTTTGTGTTTTTACATTTTATTTAATAAAAATATTTAAAAATTATTAATATTTACTATATTAATTGGTAGTATATTCAGTCTTCTAACTTTAAAATTTTAAGTTTGAATATTGTGTTATAAAGATAATTAATTTTTAATATTATTTTTATTATTTAAAAATTTTAAAATAAAATTATTTAAATAAATATATACATCAAATCAATTTCTTTTTTCTCCTCTCATTTGTTGTCTGCAACTAAACAACGGATAAATGTTGAATAGTGATATATTCTAAAATAAACTGAGCACTGTTAACTGAGAAATCAGGGAGCAAAGCCTTTGTTACTATTGGGAAAATCATATTTTCCTCTTCTCCTACATACCAATATAGGTGTGTTAATGGCCTATCAAAATACATTTGGAAATGAGTTACATCTAGTAATATTTTCAAAATAAAATTGAGTTGATGCATCCAATTTGAAATCTTCACTTATGTGAACCCTAGTTAGATGATACAAATATGAGCAAGGAAGCATGAAAAAATTGTGGGACTAAAGCACTTGAAATTTTATAATGCTTAAATTAGGAGTGAAATGAAAGTTTTTGCTGTACACAAACAAAATTTTAATCAGGAATAGTATGTGCACAAAGAGATCATACCATACCACTATGTATTCGTTGCCAAACCCATTGAGAAGTCTCTCTTCTTCAAATATTTTCCTTCCCTCTTTAATCTCCTTTACATCAAACTGCAATAGACTATTAATTGGTTATAGCTATATTGCTGATATTATGCAAAATTATGATTTTTCTAATGGCTGAAATTGAAGTAGAGAACACTTTTTTTCTGTAATGCTCATCACAGTAAGCATTTTGCATGCTGAATTCCAAGAAACTGAAGCACATTTAAGATTAGCTTTTCAATAATCAGACCATACCATTGAGTATTCATTGTTAAACATATCATTCTGGGTTTTTGTACTTCTCTTTTCTGTATTGTTCAGATTAAGTAATGTCTCTTCATCAAATTTCGCCCTTTCTTCATCTGATAATTGATTATAGTATTTCTCCCCATCCTCTTTACTTCGCTTTAGATCCTCCTGCCAAAGATTGTTCACTAAAGATAACCTCTAAGAGTTACAATCTCCTAGCAATATAAAATTTAGATACATAGATACTAACTAATAACCCAACAACTAGCTATTTAAAACTAAGATGCATATATATTAACTTATAACCAACAATTGCTATTGCAATTTGACCTTGGTAGAAGGAATGGACTTACAAATGAATATCCTGCAATACAGTAACCAAGATGTCGAACCAAACTCTGTATTGTCTCTGTCACATGTCACATGTCAAATATCAAGTATGTCAAATACAAAGCCTTGCACAAATAATGAAAGTTCAACGTTAGCTAATTCATAGAACAAAATATTGATGTATAGAGAAAAAAGACCTTTCAAACTAGATTGTAATAATAACTAAGGTATACAGAATAAGAGGCAAGAAATTTCCTAGGAAAACCTTGACATCATAAAGAAATCTCCTCTTTGCACACTGAATCATAAAAGTCATCTCACCCAGAAGTCATAACATACACAAACATGAGCACAACTATGTACATGTTTTCACACACCATCGAATAATAGTGGTTTCCAACTTGTTCATGAATTATACCACTAGATGATTTCTTAGGAGTGTGCAAGAAGCGTTATTCCCATAATAATAGTGCTCCCTGAACTTGATCAGCTACAACTAGTAGCCATGTCTAAGGAAAAAGAAACTCAAGGAAATGAAACCTCCCTCCAACTTAATCCACACCAATTGACCAAAGTCACCAAACAACATAAATGCATTATAACACCTATTTTCACATAGGTTCAGCAAAACCATATAAAAACTATCTCACAAGACCCACATCGTGACTTTTTGTTCCATGGGAATCAAACACAACAATATTAAGGGAATTTATAACATTCACGCACCCTATTCAACCAATTGAGTTAGATTCCTTTGATGACCCACATCATGATGAGAAGAATATAACAAGCAATTCCTAAAACTACCTGTCAATAGATAGCTCACACCATCCCGAGAGGATGTATCTGCAGTTTCTGCAATCCTAGTAAGATCCTTTTTTATTGAGCTTTCCATCCCACTGGACATCGCAACCTTAAATAAGACACAGAAAAATATGATTAACAAAAACCCTAAACAAACCCACTTGAGCCGATGCCTTTCATAATGCATGTTCTCTTACACTTCACAAGAATATATCATGCTTATAGTGCATGCCAAAATTAACAAACTAGTAAGTAATTACACTTACATAAACGGAGCACAAAAGCAAGCATTATCCTAAATCTAAATCCCATCTATTGAAGCTATTTATAAATGTGAGACAGCAAACACTTGTACATACTCAGCACAAAACTCATTAGTCAAAGATTCATAGGTAGTAGTTGAAGAGGGATCACAGAAACAAATGTTACTGACCTGAAGCTTGAGTACAGTAACTGAATTTCCTTTGGTGTCTTTATAGTATCCAAACAAAAACATACCCAACATGAAGATCAAAAACAACACGGGCACTCCGCTGTGACTTCCCTTTGCAAGCTCAGCATCAGGAGAAGGGACATGATTATCATAATGATGCACCATTGCACGTTCTGAATCACTAGTGTATGATTTTGAGGAAGAAGACTCTGAATCCGAATCGAAGAAACTCCCTCCCATCACACCTCCAGAGGAGGCCCAAGCCATATTAAGGTTGCAAGTGAACAACAACAGCAAAAGTACAAACAATGCAATAGCACTAGCAGTGACATATCTTCTCTGCAACGCCATTTGTCTTTCCAATAGACCAATACCAATGCAAATTAAATAAAGTCCTGGATTCAACTAAATGTGTTTAGTGAAGAACTTTCTAACTCTGCATGTAATTGAATCAAATATTAATTCTAATGAATAATGATGAGGAAAAATGATGTCCTTTTTCTAAAGCATATTTATTTTGTAAAGGGATGTCTAAGATTTAATATGGAGATAGTAATACGGCCAAAAAGATTTATATAAATAGGGGCAACCCTAAGCTTGAGAGGTTGAATTAAGTTAAAATTACTTTCTAAAATTTAAACCGGAACAATTGTTATTGGGTCTATTGGACACCTAAATTCTAAGATTTAGATCAGAATATGTCAGAGAATCAGAGGGATGACTCCTGCACCCAGTTTATTATTCTTGCATCCATCATCATTGGTCCGGAATGAGTGTTCCAGAACACATGATTGGTGCAATATATACTAAGCTAGGTGCAAAAAACAATTCTCCAGAGAGATTGGGGATCATTTTTTTTCCTTGAGGTTAACTAATAAGATCATGAACAAAAATCAAATGCAACAATAATGGAGGCAGTTATCTTATGCACACCAATACTCATCTAATACGTAGAACTGGTGTACAACATAACAAGTGACAACATCAAGGAGAATTGAGATGTAATAATTCATATGGAATGATTAATAATCAAAGTATATTCATTACATATATGAACAAAGACAAATTGTAAATATAAGCAATTCATCACTTCACAATATTATTATTATTATTATGAATTACCGAATGAGTGCGAGTCATTGACGACACACGCCAAGCTTAGAAGAGAAGATATGAATTCGATTCCTTCATGAAGAACAAAATGTCAAACGAAAGGTCAAACACAGGGACCTTGAAATGGTGGTGACCAACGATTGATGAGGAAACAAAACGTCAAATGTTAACGTCGTTTTGGGCCGAATGAGAAACATATATTAACTTGGCCGGTGCGGGTATTTTAGACCCGACCCGGGTCCGTTTGAAGAGAAAAAAACATTGCCGTTGCCATTTTTATGTGGCGAAGAGAGAGAGAGATTGTTGAATTTTGGAAGTGTGCGAGAGAGAGAGAGAGAGAGAGAGAACAGCGATGGCGAGGCGAGGCGAGACTCGGAACGAGTCGTTATTGACTCGGGTGGTTGGGGCGGTCTTCGCCTTCGTGAGACACGCCGAGTTTGAGATCCTCTTCTTTCTTTTCTTCTTCGTCGCTTATCTCGTCTTCAAAGACATCGTAAGTTCGCACTATAACCTTCTTCTCGTCCTTTTCTGAATACCCATTTGTGCCGTTTCCTCAAATTTTCCTTCTTTTCTATATGGGCATCGTGTCTGTGTTTCCATGTTCATGTAATTAAAATTACGCTCAAATGGGGATCTCAATTTTTAAGGACCCTGTTATTGTATTCTTTGTAGGTTCAGTATGTTTCTCGTGAATGAATAATTCAATTAAAGTTTTAATCATTGGATAGTCACAGCGTATTAGGGTTGTCTATCTCCTTGATACATGAGAAAATGGTTTATTTTATTTTCCTTCGTACTAATTTGCTGAGGTTTCTCTGGATGGATACCCCTTCTGGTCAAAAGATCTTAAAATTATATCTGTGAAATGTGTTACTTTGTTTTTGTTGAAATGATATGCCTACGGCTAAAGTAGTCACCCACGGGATGTGATGTAAACTATAAAACTAGATTCAGTATGAAATTTCTAGTTTAATTAATAATCTGGTCCTTGTATTTGCGCCAATTTATCGTTTTAGTTTCTATGCCTAAAAGTTTTAGTGATCTTTTTTAATGTTTTAGTCCTGTTAGATTTCTGATTCTGTAAAAGTCCACAAAAGGTTCTGTAAAACTGCCAGAAATAATTTCGATATTTTGTGACAGTTTTACGGAACCAGAAATCTAACAACAAAAAAAAAAGATATTCACTAAAACTTTTAGGTGTAGAAACTAAAACGATAGTTGGCATAGTGTAGGAAGTGGAACCAAATGATTAATATAACCAAATTTCATTAAGCCCTGCTACTATTTTGGCTTTTAGTATTTGATGGTTCAATCCATTTGAAAACTGGAAGAACTTTTACAGGATTTATTTCAGCTTGTGAAATTGTTCTTTAGTTTATTTCAATTAATGTTATAGTCAAATTTACCACAGAAGCTCTCATGTAATAAGAGATTATTAAATAAGTACTTTTAACAAGCTGTTTACCTAAACGCGTTCCTAAATGCTTAACATGGCACGTTTCTCCATCTAAACTGCCTCTCACCCCGAAACTCCCCTAATATCTGCCCCATTTTAATTTTCTAATAGTATGTGTTTACATCAATTGCAGACGTCAAGGCCTGAATACAATCAACTGTTTGTAAAGAAGCCCGGTGGACCAGAGTTTTGGCCTTTTTAGAAGAGTTGATGCTTGGTCAGTTTGGATGTCTTCGTCCATGGAGGTATTCTTAGCACACCATGCAATGATTTGTGGATTTCCTTTTGTATTTGTATCTACATGTAATTTATAGGCACATGTGAAACTTTCAAACTACAATATTTGTACAATGTTCCATTCCACTTAGTTATAGCAAAATCAAGTAAAAAGGTCTGCAGCACTTTTCTTTTTTTGGTGTCTCTCTATTTCTTTTTGGTGAGGCTTGCTTTCTCATTCGATTCTCCTTTCCCCTAGCCTAGGATGGAAGTGCTGAGACTGGGATGGCCCTCCACGATCTCAAATGTTGTTTACAGTTTATTGTGTTTCTTAATCATTATCTTAAAGTAGATGACATATATGTGCTTTAGGATGTGTTGAATATGTAATCGAAACCTTTTCACCTGAAGAAAAATCTTTAGGGAATGGAAAAGTCTTTAGGTGACATCTTTAGGGGATGTTGGTTTTATCGTTTTTCTAATTTCTAATTTCTTCCTAAGTAGAAAAATGAAAGATTACGTTTGGTTTTATAGCAAGTTATCAAACTGGTTATTTAGAGATCATATTTAATTTCTTTTATGTTGCATAACAGTTCTTTAATCGGGTGGTTTAAATCCGGATTCTGAGTTTTCTTTTAAATAAATAAAACATAGAGTTTTTGTAAGGACAGTAACTAAAACTTTTTGTTCTTCGTTTCTATCAAAACAATATCTATTTGTGTAAGTTAAATATGGTTCAATTATTAAATCTTTGGTGCAAATTTATTTTAACAAATTCTCTCATCAATCTATTGTTATCAATTTTCATTACTACTTGGTTGTTTATCTAAGTTGATGAAGCTATTAACATTCTTTGTTTTAAGAGATTTTCATTGTTAAAGTTTATCTAAGCTGATTAAGCAGTATGACATTCTCTGTCCTTTGAAACTAAAATGTGACGAATGTAAGAGAAAGATGTTTTTTCATCTTAATAGCAAATTGTGTTAAGGTATTACTTTTCTATTTTTTTCTTGGATGGTTCCTTCTACGAAAGGCAAACTAATACTACTATCTATTTGTGAGATGGTAAAATGCAAACTAGTCCGTATTCTTTACAACACAACTAGGACTCTCCATTACAGTGAACAAAGATGAGATCAAAAGCAAACAAAATTATTTAAGTGATTATGAATTTATGTCACAAATATGAATACAAAAATTATTGAAATAAAAAAAATGATATCAAAGTTATATCAAACAGTTTGTTGTAATAAGAGAAAGTGTTAATGAGTCATGCAAGCCATTTTCAAACATGTTTTATAAAGTTCTTCCGAACATCGTATAAAATTAATAATCCGGCAAGAGCAGTTAAGCTTACATCTGCTGAACAAGCACAAACAAATAACAATCTTTTTCAAAGATGTTATACCATGAAACTTTGTAAATATTTTAACAAAGGCATTTTTAGAACATAAGTCAAACTTAACATCATAAATGACTGACTTTTGTAAAACTCTAGTCAGTCTTCCTTGGCCATCTCTGATATCTTCTCTACTGGAACTTTAGCTACATCACTGCGTACTCCAATATCAGAAACATATCGGCTAACACAATACATGCCACATCCAACCAATGCAAGACCCCCAAAGCTAGCTGTCATAAATCTAAGTGGTGAAGAAACTACAGCACTTGCGGCAGCCATGCAAGATGTTGCTTGTCCACTCCGCCCCACACTGATGTTTGTGACGAGTAAACCTGTTTTGCAGTAAATAGCAAAGTCTTCACAGTTATTCTTGAAGGCATGGTAGCCACCAAATCCATTCTCAAGAAGAAACAAAGCACGGTGAAGGACATGCTCAGTTGGATCAGAAGGTGCAGTGGTGCAAGTGCCTCCTCTAGCTTTGGCTAGGAAAAATGCAGGTGACACACCATACTCAAATAAGTATAGATAACCACCAGAAAGAAAACAATCCAAGCAAGAACATATGACACCATTACTCCTTGTTCGGTCACCACATCTTGGGCATGGAGTGTCAGAAGAAGCATGAAGGGGTGGTGAGCTTATAAGAAGACGGTCAAAGACTGTTCCTCTTCCGATCTCTTCTCCTACTCCCCTGGTGAAGTGGATCACCATTCCCTCACCTACATATATTCCTGCTATCTTACCAGAAGATGAAATTTTCAATAACATTCATCATTTATAACTTGATAAATTACACAGCAAAATGCATTTTGATTCTGGAATTGTTCTGAATAAAATCTTTGTTACTCTGAATTCTCTACTAAACAAATTTGAGATTTTCTGGAAATTGTTTTTTTTTTTTCTGAATGAAACAAATCTCTGTCGAAAGCTATAAAAGTAATTCTTTGAGATACTTAGCTCTGTTCAAGGAGCAGACTTCCAATAAATATTTTTTATGTACACAAATCTATAAATACTTCAGACTACATGCTGAAGGGTCAACGTTATCTCTGCATTTTTTCTTACCAATGTTATCTGAGCATTAATCTCCCACTAATTTGCAAATTTGAAATGGATGGTGCAAAAATGCTACAAATTGTTTTTAAAATATGTATTGGGTGTCAATGAGACTTAAAATTGAGATTTAAGAAAAACACTTGAAAATGAATGAATCTGTATAGAAATTTGCAACATTAGAGGAAAAAGAGGAGTAATAGAGGAGAAAAGAGATGACCGTGATGGGCATAGATGTAAGCCTGTCTCCAAGAGTAGATGTGATCGCCAGGTTTCAATTGTTGACGATCAATCTTGTTGGAAAGCACTCCCATTTTCCTCTGATTATTGGTTACCAAATATGCCAACCACAACTGGATTATCAGATTCAGATATGTGTGTGTGTAGGCTTTCAATAGATGAAGAATGGGAAAATGGATAGTGAATGCTATATATCTATATTTATATATGAATGAGAACCAGGTTCTTGAATTACAACTCAAGGAACCGCCTTCTTGCCTTCCACTCCTTTCACTTTCTTCGATATCACATTTATCACCTACGCTCCATATTTATTAAATTTCAACGTTAATGCACATATTTTTTTATATGAGAATTATAACAAAGATTCTCAGAATTCTATTTCAATTCCCCACTATTAGGTCTGACTATTAAACTGACTTTAATAATTGTAAAACATTAATATATATATATATA